CCTACACAGAATATTTTGTTCAATCACAGTAAAAAAGACATTGCAGTAAGTCTGCAAGCGAACTGAAGTCTGCTATATCATGAAAGAAGAGTAAGGAGAACTAGAATTACTTAGCCTTAACAAATGAATGCAGAAAGGAGGCACATTGCTTCCATCAGAAAATAGCTACTAATTAACCTAAATCATCTGAATTACAGACGTGAAGTTTCGTAACTACAGAGAAAAGATATTCTGGAACAGACTTCCGAAAACAATCACAAGGGTCAGCAAACAACCAACCCTCCTGGATTTAGGATTGCAGCCTGCCAGACTTTGCGATAAAAACCCTACAAGATGGTTGAACCCAAAGCAAGAGACTGGGCTGTCAGCTGTAACAGATGCGGTCCGGGGTCCTGTGTCCTGTGTTGCAGGCCTAATTCATCACACAAACATGATTTTTTCATGATCTCCCCTTAACTACATCTCAGAAAAACTATTAAAACCCCTCATTTACTACATTAAATTCCACTGCAGCTTTTATGGTTAAATATCTGGATATTTATATAAAAATAGTACTTCCCAGCTTAATTAGGTCTTTGCCAAACTACATGCTTTTAGCTCTTAAAAGTTTTCTTCACAGTCATTTGTCAACCTCAAATCACTTTTGTTGCTTTCTCTGGTTTTACGCATCACTCACATCCCTGCAATTAGCAGTAATGAAGTCATTAAATCCAACCACAACAAAACATTTTGGGAGTCCCCAGCTCCGGCTCTTCTGAAGGAATCCATGAACGGTGTGTTTCAGGTTATGCCTTCAATAATGCAAACCCAGCATTTTTTTCTAGGGTATTCGGAAAAGCAGAAGTTATTTCTCCAGTTCTTGACATTCTTCACCACTGTGTAATTCCCTTTTTTGGACTGGTAGAAGAATCACTATATACCTTTTATATTTATACTAATTTTCCATCAACTTCAACAACATACGATTACAGATGATTAACACCAGGTAGCTTGGTACAGTTACAGAAAAGATTTTACACAAAATTAAGACTTTTCACCTTTAAAATTAATCAAAGCAAACTTTCCAAGTTTCATAGCTACCGTAACAGAGGAACAAATTTATCACAAACAAAAGATCCCATGGTTCCCAGGACTTGCATTTGGAATTAAAACATGGGCTCAGAATAGGCTAGGATGCTGCTCAGCACAAACAGGTTGCCCTCAGGTGATTTGTAAGCTGAGACCATCAGGTAACATTCTGTTAAGGCATCAAACATAACGGAGGTCTGAGGTATGTCTTCATTTGATGGATGCTGCTGAAACTTGGTGGATACTTGGAGTGATCACCTCCAGTTATGAAGAACAACACAGGAGAAAGCACTTAGGATGCTTGTTTAAAGACACTTGTAAAATTTACTACAAGGTAGATGATGATAGGTGCCATCATGAGCCAACAAAAGTGAGAAGCTGATAATTCAAGTAAGCTGGTAATACCAGGAAAAAGCTGACAGGTAGGGTAAGGATTGCTATGAGAGAATTATGAAGTGTAGAGGCTAATTAACATCACTGAAGAAGGGGAACCAACAGAGGTATGGACAAAAGGAAAGGCATGGTTCAAGTGATGGAAGACAAAATTTGCAGTCACATTCAGGACAGATATGAGCAACGTAAGTCTGCATTTATCATGATCAGGTAAAAGGATACTCAAAAAACTGTGTGTAAGATGAGCACAGTACAGGCACCACCGCCACTGTGTAGATGGAAAATGTTGAATACCAATATTGTCCACAGAGTGAGAAAGCAGATTACTGACAAAGGTTCATAATGTGTTTGGGAAAGAAGAGAGAGAGAACAAACATAATTAAAACCCTGGATAATATGACAAGCACTCAAATATGAGCAAATGCCACAAGACAGCTTGAGATTTTTGTTTGGACAGATGAAGACAGACTTCGAGAGAACCCATTTGTCACCAGCAATATATAGTAAACATCTTGACAGAAAAAACAGACTGGGATACCCAGAACAATATTAGAACATCAGAACAGAGTTGAAACTTGCTTAACCAATCTCCAGTCAAACGCAGTTTATTCCAATATTACTGTATTTTATCAAACTATTACAAGTCAACATGGAGGTTTTTAAGTTGCAAAATTATTTATGTAATATTTTATGTATGCCTAATGCTCTACAAAGTAATAAATCACCAGCACTGCATACTTTGTATTCGCCCATTGACTGCAACTACCTGATTGCCTTTGAAGAGGATAATCAAGTTTAGAAGTGCTTAGGAATACCTGCCACGCTTTTTTTCCTCACCTGTAATCCTTTGTACGCTAGTGCTCTTCTATAAAAAGCTTTAATATTAGAATCTTCTATCTGAAGAACATGATCACAATCCTGCTTAGCCTCTTCATATTTATTGAGTTTCAAGTAACAGAGAGCTCTAACACAGAAAAACAGAATACACTGCAATATAAGTAAATTCTACAGTGCTGTAGTCCCAACAGTATCTGACTCATAAATGTTAACTACAATACTTCACACAATTCAGTCTCAATGCGGTATTTTTCAAAGTACATCAAACCCATTAAGCATTATTAACATCACTGTATGGATTTAGAGAGGGCCAATTCCTGTAATAAAAGTCAAAACTCAAGTATGACTAATGCTTGAAGTTGGGCAGATATGTAAGTATTTTAAAAGCAGAGCCTATGTTAATGTAATACAATAGTACAGTAATTGATATAGTATAGATTTTATACAGCCATTCTGGGTAAAAAGTGCACCAGATTAAATAAGCAGTTCTGCTTTCTGCACCTAATTATTACTTGGAAGTCTGGAAGTCTCCTGTTCAAGTACTGGCCTAATCAAATCCTTCTTAGTTTGTGAAAGCTGATAAGATTACAGCATAAAGAATTATGCTGCAGAATTAGGCCAACCTTTAAAATAATGCTGTTGTATGACCACCTTCTTACTTTTATTTTCTTAAAATGTACATCTTCTCTGAATTACTGCTCTTCATATTTGAGAAACTGCTACCACACATTAGTTTTTAATTAAAATGATACCAGTATTCTTAAAAACTGCTGCAAAATGCTATGCTAATTTTAACTTTTACCATTGATTACTCTATTTGTATAAAGATTTTCAGATCTACATCAGTGACATCAATACTTGCTCCCCTTGGAAAATAATGCAGTTTAACAAAAAATCAATTTTGCTATTAAAAACACTCATCAAGTGGGAAAAAAAAATCCTTTTCTAACAACAGTGACTAAAGGGATGGAAAAGATCTATTTGCAGTGAGAAAATATAACTACTGTTATCCCACAAAGTGGGGTTCGATTTTGAATCTTTACCTGTTGGTGTAGATCGCACATTCCTTGGTATTTAACTTCATGCATTCACTGTATTTATTTACAGCTTCTTCATATTTACCCTTTCTTACAAAATCATTCCCTTCGTTTTTCAATGTCTTGAACTTCTCCTCAGCTTTCTCACCTATGTTACAGAGGATCACAGTGTTACATAAGGTCAGCTCATTAAGGGTAGCTGAATAATCTGCCCAGACTAAGAATAAATGCCTGGCCACTGCAGTATCTTTACCAGTCTGCACATTGCTGTGTCCGTCCCAGATCTCCCTGCTGCTCTAAGAAAGGCACAAGCTCCCGTATCCACATCTGGCACAACACACACTTCTATTTAGCTGAAAGTAATGGGAATGCCCCTTCTGTGTGGCAGAGAGGGACTATACATCTGCACTGAGATACCAGTGTTATTTACAATGGTGGAGATTCAATCAGCAGCATCAAATGCCTTCTAGATCTCCACCGTCACACCAAGGTGGCCATAATTTAATCTAATATTCTTTCTGCAAGCAACTATCTATAACAATTAGTATGCTAAACAGACAATGACAACCACCGTATCAGTGGGGGTTAGTGATATATCAGTAATAATCTGCTAACAACTATTTATAAAACACACTTCAAGGAACCTGAAAACACCTAACTATACTTTTTTTTAATTAATACTGTTTTCTTCCACAATTGCCTTTCCTTCTAAACTCCACATCATTTGTTGCATATGCTTCTGGGTTGGACTACAATTTTTTGCTCTGCTTTCAGTGGAAATCTTGACTGTATTTTCATGGTTCTGTTGTGAACAAACGATAATTAGCAACATAGCCCAAAGCCAATCATAATGGAAAAATCTAATTTTTGTACCTTGCTAAAGAATGAGAGCCCCTTGCCAAGCTTCAGGTTTTAAACACTGTATTCTAACCAGATGATTTTAACTAATAATTAAACTCGTTAAGTTCTTTTACAAGAGCATCGCAGCCTCCTATGCCACAAAACTACACATGGACTTGGGGAAAACACCAAGTAACGACATGAAACCAGAACAGATTTACGCAAGAAACACAACTGAATTCTAATTCGAGTTGTAAGACACAAAAACCAGCAGACAACTGTTGGGTTCACAACGGACTGAACATTACTGCTGGGACGCTTCTGGCACCAGCCGTCACTGTCAGGTCCCACGGAATTAGTGCAGGCCCAAGAAGGCAACCACAACCTTAAGAGTCAGCCTTCAGTGGAAAAAATTGTTATGTATTCTTCATTTAATATTTCAAAAAGCCAAAGCTTAACCAAAACCCACTCTATTGGAAATAGATTGAGATGTGTGACAGAGCACATTTCATGAAGACAGCGATGGTCAGTTTCGTGAACTTTCATAAGAAGCTAAACATGATCACTGGTGTTCTCAGGAGCTGCTTATCTGTACTTTTCACTATGATGATCTTCAAATTGTCTTTCTTAACAAAGTTACACAAGGCTGTACAGAACCAAATTTACTACTTAAAATGTTCAAACAGGTTGGTTGTACATTGAAATAAAAATCCAACAGGTTGTAATCTTTAATAACAGAAAAACCCCAGAGTACGATCAGTACAACAAAAACCACTTTTCAAGTAAAGCATTTATGTTTAATAGCATCAATTGTGCAAGATACCAGTTTTCTACTTATATTTAAGCAAACCAAAAGTTAAACCCAATTGCTGCCCAGTCCTTAAGAGTTTAATCAGTAATAACATGTACTTACACAACTGTAATGAAAATAATTGTCACTGGACATTTTAAAAAGTAAAGTAAAAATTTTATCAATTTAATTGAGCTTAAATAATATATCAACATGCCTCATGCTTCTCAAACAAAAAACTATTTTCTGTAGCATTACTGAAGTTTAATATGCACTGCTATGAAAACTGTACATAAACCACACTATTACATGTTTCCAGAACAATGTCTTATTCTTAAGAAAAATGTCCAGTTCTCATACACACACGTATTTGCAAGCTGATTGTTGGTTTACATCAGGTACAAATAAATTCAATGCTACCTGAAAGATCATTTTAAAGTCATTAAATCTATAGTGCCCAGAAATGCAGATCATTTGAAGACATGCATTACTGCAGTAATGCTTTATGGACAGACAGCCCTATCACTGCTACATATTTGACCAGCACCCCAGTTATGCATTGCAGCTTTCCTTGTGTTAATCAAGGGGAAAGTATCTTCAGCACTACTTTTCTTTATATTGAAATAAACTCAAAGGGGAATCAATAAATAATTAAGCTAAAAAATCATACAGACAAGACCTTTGCAAAAAAGAATGTTTAATGTCAATAAAAACTGGATCAGAAAGGTTCCTTCACCTGATTTACTGAAGGAGAAAAATGGAATCTGCAATAAAGGGAAAAAAATCAGGAGCAAGAAAGTGTCCTAAAGGAGTTAAGCACTCAGTGCTTATATGTAAGCAAGTCCAGAAGTAACATCTTTGGAAGGTGCCTGTTAAATTGCCACTGTCAAAGTCAGAATTTATGGTAAAAAAAATAAATAAAATCAAGTGTTCTTCTATAGCCTATTTCACTATTGGCCACCCACAAATCTAACCTTTCTATTCTGAAAAGCTGAGTAATGCTTTCATGAACAATTAAATGACAGCTACAGATTAAGCAGCTGATTCTACTACTGAGGGTGGGTGTTTGTTTGGGTGGTGGGTTGCTTTTTTAAAAACCTGTGTTCTAACTGTAGTAAGATGTCAGAGAATCTGCTGATACTTGTGATAGGACTCAATACATTGCTGATGAGTATTTCTGCTGTGTTTTCTTCTTATATGACTCCAGAAACGACATGCTGCAAACCACATCATTTGGCTTAAAACCCCCCCCCAACGATCGCATCATCTAACTTGGCTTTGTGCACAAAGGTCTCTGATAAATATTTTCTAAAGCAATTTCTTAGACATTATTAAATTGCATTCCATTTTTCAATTAAAATTATTTTACTTTTGGTATATATATATTTGCATTAGCTATACATACAATTCATCTGCAACTGTTCTTCTCTGTTGGTATCTGTAGTACTTCTGGGCTTATTCTCTTCGTTTCCTCCATCCCACCTGTGTAGTTGAGCAGCAACTGGGACAACTGGAATTGGTGGCAGTTTCTCTCTCCAACTGGGACCATCCTGGTCTATTAAAGTCTTTGTTATTCTGAAAGAGAAAAACCCCACCTACATGACGTCTCATATATTTAACTCACACTGTAATAACTTACAGCCAAATTAAATAATGCAATGTTCGTTTTTCAAAAAACAACTGAGCCATTATCGTTAAAAATACTGCCATAGCAGTCACTTTTCACTTATTTAAGATTTAGACTTTTTCCACTTTTTAGAGTATTTATGCTGGCATTTAGAAGAAGCTGACCTCAGCATGATCTGTAAAAATTTAAGCAAATGACTGATTTTGCAACTAATCTCTAAATCCTGCCTACCACGTGCAATAAAGAAATAGGAAAAAAAAAAGTACTTATTTTGTTTACTTTTCTCAGCTATTCATAGGTGTTACTCATAACAAGTGTAGATTATAATATCCTCAAAGTGCGGTACCTAAATGTGCCAATGTCAAATGAAACCTCTTACACGACAATTCTCCAAATGACCAATGCAGGTCACAAAGCAGGTATTAAGTTTTATTTTATAGAACAGTCAGAAATCCACCAATCATTATTTATCCCCACTTAAAAATGCAAAGAAAATATATAAAAACTGTTTTGGCTCTCTCAAACCAACACATACATCTTTATATAGGTCAACTATTTCCATACATGGGAAGTTCAATCCAAAATCCGTTCAAGTGGGAGTTTCCCATTCCTGTGATACATTTTGGAGAAAGACCTAAGTAAACACAAAGAGTAAAGCTATGCAAAACTTCATGGTTACATTGCAATTTTTGTAGTGTTCCTTAAGAAAAAAAACCCAAACAAATATTAATCAATCATGAGAATAAGAAGAGTAGTGAGATGAACGTCTTCTAATCTCAAAATGATCATAAGAGTCAAGTTCAACTGGTGATAAGTCTAAATCTACTTTATCAAAGCAAATTTCTGAATTGAGTAGCAAGGCACGTCACATTGATACTACAGCAAATAAACCTGAAATTCGTATATGAGTTGCATTTCCACCTAACACACATATAAAAAGCATACTACACGAATACACAGTAAAAAAATGAAGAACCTTGAATGTGGTATGAAGAATGAGACAGAATGGGCATAAATCACTCAAGGTTTTTTTTTTGCTTAGTTTTGTTCTTGTTATATTTGTGTAACAGGTATAAAACAAACAAACAAAAGCCTTGGTATTATACTATTACAACAGAGTCAGAACACTCAGATTTTTTTCCCCATTAGGATCTGATAGAAAAAACAAAACAAGAAGTAGCACCTGTTCTGATCTTCTTCAGTATAAAACAGAAATTACCAAAATACTTTAAAAATTATATAGACTAAAAAGGCTGTTTGTAGACCCATTTTCTCCATTTATCACAATGGGCTTAAAAGTCAGAGAAAAAACCTGATCTAATACATCAAAATCAACAGAAAGAATCCTACAGCCTTTGATGATCAATTGACTTTTTGTTATACAATAATCTAAGCATAATCCGTGTGCCATGGTTAGTTTAAAAAGCACAGGTATCTCATGAAAAAGCTGGGACAAATACAGTCCTTCCCCACCACCACACTCTAACGTGACCCAACAATCCTGCAGTTTTGGAATTTATCACAAATTTATTTGTACAGAACAATATTCATATGGGACTTTGTAATACAAGCTGCCAAGCTATCTAATGCAATTTTGCTAACCAAAATTAAAGGAGTTGAGACAACTGGAACGAAACTTCAATTTAGTAAATGGAAATGCATCAATTTACTGCTCCACATTAGAGCTTCTGTATTTCTAACAGTGAAAAGCAAATAATAAAACACTCACTCAAGAGGAAATTAAAATACACAAAGTAGGAAATTTATGGATGTTCACAAAGCTAGGAAAATGCCACTAATTAAAAGTGTGCTTGAAATGTGTTTTCCTGTGACTTGGCACACACCCTTAAAAGAGACAGTCCTTCCAATTTATCTAAAAATCACCTCAGGGTAACCAATAAAAGACACAATTCAACATCATCAAATCAACATGATAAACACTCAGATAACTTATTATACTTGTTTTCAGTTGACCTTTCATAAAAATATGCACTTCCATTCTGAATTATTTCCTTTTGATTGCAAAATGATTACATAAAGGCTTTATATTATCATGTAAAGGTTTTATGTTAAAAATTCTACTTGTCTTTTACATGAGAACTATTAAGAGATATCAGATTGAACATCCACTCAACTCTAAGATTTTTGGAAAGCCTGCTTAGTTAGGTAAGTACAGAAAGACAAGACTCAACGTGATTTATCAAACCCCCTCTCAGACACAAATAGGACGATGAGTTTTTCCTGTCAGCTTCCTACAGCATCACCATCCAATTTGTTGCAGGAACTTAAAAACAAATAAATCCTCCAATAAAAGCAGTTTATTAAGACCTGATATTCTTAATATTAAAAAAAAAACTTAAAAATTACATTTTGGGGTTATCCCTTTAAGTTAAAAGGCAATAAAGGAACTATCATTTTTTGTTAAAATTTATTTATAAAAAGCTCTGTTACTTTGGAAATGAAAATTAATACTTTGGTAAACAATTTCAGGCTAATTCATAAATGATAAGATATTTAAAAAATAAATTATAGTGAAGTTCGACTACATGGGAGGTCTATGCTTTAGAAACTAAGAATTTGCAAGCAAAAATGAATTACCAGCAGAAGAGAAGGAAGAAGCAGCTGAAATAAGGTGATGGGTTGCCAGGGAGGAAAGAGTAATGAGCAGTGAAGCTAAAAACATAAGAAAGGCCTAGAGAGGAGAAAAGGAAAAGTGTTAAGGGGAAAAAAGGAAGTAAGCTTATTACTAAGCAAGTTAAAAGTCAAAGAGAAGTATGAAAATAGTATCTGCAGATAAAATAAGCCAAGAAGATAAAAAAAAGTGTAAGAATCTCACAGATACCAGGACGAGCAGCTATCTCACTAAACCAAGTACTCTATTATCAGTATAGATACAGGAGATGAGTAATAATTTGTTGTGTTATCAAAAATAAGATTTCTAAGAGGAGATGATAAAAGTGTCATGATCCCCTATGGCCGCTTCTGGTCAAATAAGCAGAATTTAAAGAGACTATGGACTTTTTAATGAAGTAATAATTTAAGCGTGTAAGGTCTTGTCTTAAAAAGGCAAAAAAGGTACTAGATTCTACTGTTAAAAGTTGCCTGCACGTGGGTTTCAGCTCAATGATTAATGGCTGCTCTGCTTTCACAAATACTTTTTTTGCCCATTAAAAGAAAAAGAAAAGGAAATAGAAAATCCTATTATTCACACACTGAAGTACTTACTATATGTTAATGAGAACAGAGTCACAATAGTGTGTATACACTGATTTTACACTATTCAAATATAATTACAGAAATTGAAACATGTCTCTTGACAGCAAGAATTAGTGTTGGAAGTATTAACATTTAATTTAAAAATAATATTCAATTATATTTTTTACACCTCTAAGCTTTGTAGCCAACCACTGTATCGAGCTACTTCAGTGTTTACACAACTGCAGTGTACTGAAGGATTCATACTTAACGTAAATCTCTCAACTGCCACAGGAAGAGTGCTAATACAAAAAGGAAACAGAGATGTCAGAGAAAAGGTACGGACCTTAAAGTATTACTTTAGATTGTATCAAATCCAAGTTAGGAAAGAAAACAAGTTGAAGCACAAGTAAAAAAAGCCTTTAAAATATTGTATTTTTAAAACAGAAAGGGACCTACTGCTGGCAGAGGAAAACTGTGAAGGAAAACAACTAAATGAAACAGGCAGTCCTCTAGTTACAACGTGCTAGTTGTGACAAGCCTGCCTCTGAGGAATACAGAACAGAGGAAGCACAACAAACAAACAAAACTGAATCCTATTTTTCTCTTTGGACTGATAGGAGTAGGAAATTTGTAAGTGCACTTACCTATTAGCACTATCGTTGGCTGCTTGGATGCTGCTGTCTATTTGTAGGACTGTTTTATAATCAATGTATGCCTGTCGATACCGCTCCATAGACTCATTTGCCATTGCTCGTCGTAGAAGAGGCTTAAGGGAAAATGGCTGAAGCTCCAGAGCTCTGGAGAAAACAAAAGAAAAAGGCAAGACTGAAACAGAATAACTGAAATAATATTGAAAAACCTATTTTATTACAAGTACAACTATACGTTACACCCAAGGAAAATGGGACCGAGCAGTTTATATTAATACCCTAAATAACATGCAGTTATGAAATTATTAGTGCTTATACTGCAACTTACTCTACTCAAATCCCTGTCTTCCATCTAGGAAACTACTTTCATCACCAAGAAAAGATTAACATAATGGCAGCTGTTTTAAGAGCAGAATCTATTTTTATTTAGTAAGACATGAATATACATCTGCCTTTTTTTGGCTTTTAAGTTTTTGCCTGTCTTTTGTCAGTTAGCTCTTCTAATTGTGTGCCTGGTCAACACAGAGATCAACCCTCAGACACTGTGCAGTCAGAACTCCTTCTATCACCATGTGCTTTTCCAGCAATATGAAGAAGCAGTCCACAAAGGCTTTACTTATTAAAGACTACCTTTTATAGATCAACTCTTATTGCTAAAGAGAAAAAGAGGTAAACTTCGAAATACTGAAATTAAGATGAGTCTAGCCAATTAGATGTCATGGAATCAGCCAGTAATTCAGAGCTGAGAGGTCCCTAGCTCAACCTTCTGCTACAGGTAGGGTTAGCTCTCAGATCAGGCAAGGCTGCTCAGGGCTTTATCCAGTTGGCCTTGAAAACATCTAAAGGAATCTCTGCACAGCATCCTGTTGCAAGGTTGCAGGCAACCTGTTGCAATGCCCCATACCATTCATGGGGAAAATGTTTCTCCTGATCCGCAGTCTGAACCTTATGTGGTTCATTCTTTGCCTGTTGTCTCCTGTCCTCCCATAATGCACTGCCTTAAAGAGCCAGGATCCATCCTCTGGATAATCTCCCCATAGGTACTGGCAGGCTGCTGTCAGGACTCCTGGAAGCCAATCTTCTTCAAGCTGAACACACACAGCTCCCTGGGCTTCTCCTCTCCAGGCAAATGCTCCAGAGCTCACAACCACCTCAATGACACCTCACTGAACTCGCTCCAGTTGATCACTATCTTTCTTGTACTGGGGAAAAACCAACACAGCTATCATAGATATTGTCTAACAAGTGCTGAGTACAAGGGGATAATCACTTCCGTCAATCCACTGCCTGTGATAAGCCCAGGAGGCTGTTGGTCGCCTTTGCTGTAAATTGGCTTTGCACCATTACTCATCCTAAAGCTACACAAAAACTATGAGTTCTAGAAAAAACATTTCCAATTTCCATTTAATGAATTTTTCCAACATCCCATTTCTCTTTTTGCTGCTGAATACATCTAAAAAATACAACAGTGCACAACATCATAGCCCCTACAAAACCTCTGCAAAAATGCTCGACACTGTGTAACTTAGAAGAATATTAATGCAATTTCAGGTTTCTAACACCAAGAATGAAGAAAAAAACAACCATAAATAAATTCAGGGGAAGATGACACTGCTTGAAAAACAGCATCAGTGGGATCAGAAAACTACATTTCCAGGGTAGAATACAGCCAGAGACCAAACCACACCACAGTACTAAATAAATTAACATTAGCGCATGGAAGCCCTATTTCACTCTCTGTAATCAAAGGCACTCCAAATCAGTGTCTTGAGACAAAGAGTGATCCAACAGAGGGTTTTTGATACACTTTTAAGCCCTAAATAGCTAAAAAATAATAAAAGATAAATGTTTGGTACTTATTTTTATATCACAAAGATAAGAACTACACCATTTTTCACTTTGAAATCAAGTAACATATTTGTAGATCATCCTTTATGTTTCGTAGCCTAAAGAAGATTTAATTGACACTGCCTAATTCATGTGTCTTTGTAGTTTTGCAGTTCTGCTTCCCAGTCTCTAAATTATTTGCACCTCTGTTGTATTCACTAAGCATCGTAGGCCCTTGTGTATCCTAAAAATATGCATGACATTAAGGACGCTAACTTTAAGTAGTAAGAAAATAAACTTGCAATTGGTAAGAACACAAAACCCAAACCCTTTGTACTACTGATTTCAGTTGAAGTCTAACATACTTCAAACCTCCTTGACAGAAAAATAAGATGACATACTTAACAGTCATCACATCAGCCAACTGTCTATGCTTCTGCATCTATTTTAACAAAGTATTGTTAACAAGTCAATTTTTTCAGACGACATTTTCAGAAAAAATTTCTGTCAGGTAGAATATCTACACTGAAATATTTAGCTAATACAAAAGAACATGCATATTTTATTTTTAGTTTGTTTTTTGTTTTTTTTTTTAACAGTTAAGTTGTGCTGTAAAAAACCCCAAGTGATAAATAAGATTTCTAACCGTTTTCAGATCCCACTTTTACTGTAAGCCTCAGATTTACTAACCCTATCTGTGAAAATATAATAAAAGACATCTAGAAATACAGTAATAATTTATTGGAAGGCGGTGTTCGGAAGTTATTGAAGTTGTCTGATCTTCTCTAACTCCTGTATCATTAAAAGCCACAATAAACAAAAATAATTATAGCTCAATTCCTGAGCAGCTGTAATTACTGTTTATAACTATGCCAAGTATATATTTAAAAAACCAAACCAAACAGCAAAACAAACACAGAGAACACACATATACACCATACATATGCTTGAAAGCAATTTCCAGCATTGTGATAAGCACCTGGCTTAACAAAGCTTTTACATATAGGTTACTGCAGAGCATCACTGAAGTAAGCCTGCTTTTATATTAAAAAATTTAACCGTCCTATGCATTTCTCCATATACGAGAAGTCTAATAACTTCCCTGACCCATGAGGACAGTAAGTTAAAAGTCCCTCCTTCCCTAGGTTCCACAATTGTTTACTAACTGACAAGTTATCTGTCTTGTAGACAGGGAATCAGACTTCATTAGAGATTGTTCTAAGTCAAACTGCAATAACAACGTATCAGTTAAAATGTTTAATCATCATCAGGAATGTTGTTGCTCTACATGAGAGGTTGCAATTTACCTGTTACAGTCCTGAACGCAGTCACTGCAGTTGCCTTCTTTGAGGTAACATGCTGCTCTGTTCGAGTACAAGATACTTAAATCATCTGGACTTTGTTCTCCTAAAAGAAGTTACAATTAAAAGCAAAGACCATTACTAAAATGACATTCAAGAATTAAAGACTTGCATACTGTAAGTTGCACTGCAGTGATGCAGTTTGCTGACAATGCAAAGCTGTAAGAAACATCCCTTTAACATATCACCTAGAATATGTAATTATTCAAACGCATAAAGAAATGCAAACAGCTCTGCCCCAAGGAAGTTAAAATATTATTGATTTCATCTTCCTATATTTTGTGTCACATGAATTACTGAAATTACAAAGAATTTACTGCATAGGAAGAGCTGCCAAAAATCCAGGGATAGGCTAGGTTAGTTCATTTGTAGATCCTTTAAATAATCTAAACAGCAGTCCTAGATTTATGTTTAAGGTATCACACTCACCTAGACCGATGACATACTCAATTGCCTCCGAGTATTTGAGCACAGCTTCTCCAAACTGTCCACTCTTAAACAACTCGTTTCCTTCACTTTTTAGTTTTGCTGCAATAGGAGGAAGTGAAGTAGAACTGCCACCAGCAACCGGCTGAGACCCTGCTCCCTGGGATCTGCAGATCTTCTCAGCTTCAGGGCTTTCAGTCTTTCGGTCACTGTGTAAATAGCCATTAACTTCACCTTCATGGTCTGATAAACGCTTTTGTGTTTTTTTCTCCGATGTGCCTTTTTTTAATCCGCACTCGGTGGATTCTCTCTGCTTCTGTGCGTCTCTGTCCTCCCCCTTACCGCCACCTCCTTTGCTATGAAACTTTTTCTGCGCATTCCCCATCGCCTCCTCCTCCGCAGCTGCCTCTCCCCGCACTGGCACGCCGGCTTCTACGAGGAAGTTAAGGAGCGAGTTAGAGCTTGCATCATCGGAAGAAACTATCGTCCTGGTAAAGGAGGGGTGGACAAACAGGGGACCGCATCCTTGAGGCATCCTCATGTTACAAAGATTTATTTGCCTCCGAAAGCACTTCCAAGAACACAGAAAATGTCCTGCTCTCACATAACCTGCAGTTATTACCGAGAACGTGTTACTGGAAAATCTCACTTCTCCTTGCCGGGCACAGTGTGAACCCCTGTGCTGTAATGTCAGAATGGTACGGAGCTCACCTTGACATTAACTCTTTAAAAACTGGCTATTACAAATACCGATACTTTTATTTTCCACGATCAAATCAAAATGCTTGCATTTTAAATTAGACAAAAAAGCTAACAAACCAGTAACGTTGCACAGTTCAAAACTCTCCTCAAATACAATAGAAGGGATAAAAGCATATAAACAATTCTTTAAAAGTTTTTATTTAAACATAATGATAAAAAGCCTTTATAGAGAGTTCAGATAATTCAGTTTTCACTACTATTATTAATTAGAGGAAAAAAATAAGACAATAAGGGTATCAGGTACTGACATATATAATTTCCTTATTCACCCGAGCTCGTAACAGATTGCCACCACGGTATTCACATACAGATTTCAGCAGAAAGCCTGACTCTTGATCCTACCGGTCACACAAAGGCCACTCTGTGCTTTGGTACTATTAATTAATTATTTCACCTCCCCTTTATTTGATGTGCTCATCTGTCCAACAGATTTTTTTCATGCACTTATATATTGAGTGATACCTCCAACTGACGCAAACTAAACTTCTGAAGTTGATTGAACATGGATGAACTCCAGGTTGTTCCAAACTATAGAAATGATTTTTTTTTTCATGCACAAAATGTTACTGAAATAAAACTGAACAG